CACATAAGCTTTCACCTTTGATATCCACATCTGCTTGGGTACAGATGCATTAGTTCTCGAAGATTTAAGGTTTTTACCTTTAGATATTTTTAGTTTATCAAAAATTTTTTTTTTTAACGACCATCTCATTTACAATGTGTGCTTTATAAACTAGACAATTCTTTTTCTTTTGATCTATACCTTTATTTTGTTTTCTACCCCTTTTGAATCCTATTCCATTATGGTTTAAGGAAGGACTTTGACTTGATAATATAAATCAATCTTTTCTTTCCCTTTGTTAAATTTACCGAGGGTTTCATGTAAATCAACTACTTCCTTTTTTATGGTGACATAACTCTTACATTCTACTTTTGAATTTCTGAACTTAGTTATTTTTATCTTGAATTATTTGTTGATTTCTTTTACATATCATAAAGATTCCTTAAGACCTAAGTTGAGTTCTCTTAATTTATAATTTTACTTTTAAAATTGAGCACTCATTCTAACAAATTGTTCATAAGGTGGTTTAGTTAGTTGATCAGTATCTACATCGTGTGAGTGCATTCTTCCATATGGTCATGTTTTGAATGATGTCAACACTAGGAGGGTGCTTTAGTGTTTTTGTATATTGGGAGGTATCAACCAAAGTTTAGATGTGCATTGATCATATTAGCATTAGGGTGCATAAAAATTAGTGTGAAAATGATTGGAAATGCCTTATGCATGTTTTGTACATGAAAAACAATGTTTTGACCTATATAAGCTTTTACTTCAGTATAGGTCGACACATAACTTGGATAGGCCGACCCCCCACACATTAATATTAAAGCCTGTAGGCTCTGCTTAGAGGTCGCCTCACTTAGGTCGACCTGAGTACCTTGACAGGCTGACCTATTGCTTTCACAGGCAGACCTATAGCTTCCAAAAACTTAACATTTGTTTTGCATCTTATTTTTCTTGCATCCTTTTTGCCTATTTCCTCTAAAACATATATATACTCATACATGCATCTTTTTCTAGCACGGTACTAGTGTAAAACCTAAACGAAACCAGAATTACAAAGCTTTCCCATCATCTTCAACTTTTCTTCCATGCATACACACAATAAAAGTACACATAATCATTTTTTTAGTGACAATATAGATTATGGTATATAACGCCCAATTAGGTTGGTGTAACCGAGAATATTGGGTTGGGATCTTTGTGTGTTTAAAATAAGAAAACCAATTTGGGGTTTTCTTTCAAGATCATTGTGATTTGAAGTTTTTGGACAAGATCACACAAATACAGATTCGACCGAGTGAAGGCCTTGTGACAAGGTGGTTTCCTTGCAAGGGAATAGGGTGAGACGGTGAATCATGTTCGAGAATCTTGGGTTCAACAAGTGCGTGCTAGGGATTAATCCCACCGAGCAAAAACCTTGAAGACGAGGAGGTCTTGCAAGTTAGTAACATGAACTGGTGGATTGTAGTAGCATTATTGGTGACTTGATCAATCTTTGATCAATGGTTTAGGGGTGGTAGAATCAACAACAAACCATAGAGTTTACGGGGTTAAAGTTATTCATCTCTTGTATAAACATATTTTGCAAAGTAAGTTTAATTGCAACTATCTCAATTCGAATTGAGGACAGACGTACCCATAGCGAAGCCGATTGGGGAAACGTCTAAGGAAATATTTCTCTCTCTCTCTCTCTCTCTCTCTCTCTCTCTCTCTCTCTCTCTCTCTCTCTCTCTCTCTCTCTCTCTCTCTCTCTCTCTCTCCCTCTCTCTCGCGCTCTGTCTCTCTAATATTTGCATTTGCACATTATCGATTTCGTTGTTGTTTTAATCAATTTGTTTGGAATTCATTTTTTAATACATTTTGAATTAAGGTTTGTTGATATAATCATAATCACTTTGATTGTGATTGGCTTTAACATCAACAAAACAAATTAAGTTTCCAAACATTATTGATCGCACATAAAGTGTTCGATAAATTGCTTTGAGTATTTTTAATTGGTTTTTGATCATCAGAAATAAGTTCTACGAGTAGTTTAACATTTAATTGGTTTGTGATTAATCATTGTTATAAAATTTGTGTTCATTATCATTAAAATGTGTAACATTACAAATATTCGAGCTTTTTGATAGTAGGTTTGGTTAGACGATTCAATTTGGGTTATTTTCGTTGTACCATAAAACTTTTGAAAATCATTTTTTTTTCCAAAAGTAAAATTTTAAAATTGTGATCTATTCATCCCCTCTAGATCAAAGTCTATCGTCTAACAATTATGACTAATTTGTGGAATCAATTGGCTCTTATGGAATATGAAAGTTCTGTGTTGGTTGCAATTTGCTAAAATATGTTGCTGCAGCTATATGTTGTGCAAGATGTCTAGACATGTGGGTCAAACATCTCTGCAAATTGTTTATTTAGGTTATGCAGAGTTAGAATACAAGATGTCAAATCTGATGTTCTAACATATTATTACAGAACTTAACAACATTCAATTCAGAATGTTGTAATTTATTTCTTGCTATTTGTTGGCAATCTTTTGTGCTTTTCTGGTAAGAGATATTGCTAGCGCAAATCAGGGTGGAGATTTTATTTGAATCAAAAGAGTTTTGTTGCATATTTTGTGAAGTTATCTTTGGAATATTTTGTTCTATTTTTGTGCGTAAAATCTTGAGAATATTTGGATTATTATTTGATTTGATTTTGTGAGTTTTTTTTGGATATATCTCACATATTTTTGCAGGTGAAGAAAAGTTAATATGGAACATTTGATTTAATCTTCAACGATTCATAAGTTTCTAAAATTGGATGTTGAGACAATTTAGGAAACTTGATGATTTGCTCCAAGATTTAAGGAGATTTTTCTGCATAATTGATGAAACCCTTAGCATGTGGATCAATAAATATTTAGGTGAAGATTTCAAATCCCATGGACTGCTGAAGAGTATTTAAAGAAGACCTAAACCTATTATATTTGTGATTTTTCACTTTTGTAAAATAAGGGGAGGTTTTATAATGCTAGGTTTTGAGAGTCTCTTGTGTGGTGACTTTGTAAGTCACTCTTCGTATCTTTTGATGCATTGTGGTAGACATATTTAGGTTGTATATTGTTCTTACTCTAAAGCTTTTAAGAATAGGAGTTGAGTATTATTCTTAGTTGAAGCTTTTAAGCAAAACCAAGTATTGTTCTTAGTTGAAGCTTTTAAGCAAAACCAAGTATTGTTCTTGGTCAAGAGTCTTGACCTAGTTTTGTTCTTGAAGGAAAGAGGGTATATCTTTCTTTTTGGTTTCTTCTGGCATTCCCTAGGACTGGGAGTGTTTGTTTATCACTGCGGTGATTTCTCATATCTAGGAGTTCCTAGGTAGAAGTTGCATTGGGTAGGTATTAAGTGAGGGGGTGTAAACGGAGGAGTTTAGCTCTGAATTAATACTGTTGATAATGGATTTCCTTCCTGGCTTGGTAGCCCCCAGACGTAGTTGTTGCTATACACCGAACTGGGTTAAAAATTTCTTGTGTTATTTATCTTTCTGCATTTAAAATTCTACACAATTTAAATGGTTGGATAAATTGTTCTGTTAGTCTGCATATGTTACAACATCTGTCATGACATTCGTACCCTGATGGTGGAACATCAACTTCTAAATCATGTATTACATGTGCCATAAAATCTCAATTGGTATTAGAGCAGGCACCCTAGTCAGTTTCAGGTGAGCTTCAGGGATAATTTTTTTCTGGTACATTTTGATCTTTGAAAGAACAACGTCTCTTGCTTATCTGTCATCAAAGAGTGTGGGTTTTTTCCCTTGGAAGAAGAGTGTGTGCTGGATCTTTTTACTCTAAGGTGCTAACTCCTGGGCCAAAGGAGTTGTGTAACATGTGTTATGATTTCTAGACACACATGTGGTGACCAAAAGTGTTGTGGACTCTCTCAAGGCTATGCTTGAAAGGATTTTTGGTTAACAGTTTCTTTTGGGCCTCTATCCAAGAGTTTTGTCTTGTAAGTGTATGCTGGGGAAGATGAAGATCAAGACACCATCGACTTTGGTGAGTATTCTTTAGGTCAGTTTATTTCTGATCTAGAGCTAGGCTTCTGTTTCTCCTTTGAAGGAGCTTGTGGCCTAATTTATGCTGAAGGGTTGTGAACACATCTCAACCAGATTCTGTGCATATGAAAGTCAAGGAAAAATGTCTTGGACATTCACCCTGACATTTTGGAGACTCTTCTGGTCTTTCAAAGCTGGATCTGAGTAATCTTGTAAATAGTTATGTCTATCTTGTGACTACCTCTTCTATAAGGTTAGGTTCTGGTGTAGACTCTGATCTTGGTATGGATAATATTCTTGGAGTTTTGTGCTTGAAGCAGCTTGTTACCAAGGTACCTGTTCTTCTCTTGAGTCACCTTAAAAAGGACTGATTGTTGTTTTTCCATTTATATGTACAAGATGGAGGTTATTTACTCAAACTTGATATTATGATCAAGTTTGTGAGAACATGGAACTCCTGTTCTGTTGTTGTGGAGAAGTCCTTCAAGGTGGGATAATGTCTGGAAGTCTAAGGGTTAGATCTTCAAGACTCTTTCATGCATGTGTGGTCTCATCAGCTGGCTAGTCAAGTATTTGATGTCACTCAAATTTTTTGAAATTATGCTGAACATCAGGGTGTTCAAGCTGAAGGTACTTGTGTGCATTGAAGTTGTACCATCTTGTTATAAGCTGGTCTTATTAGGAGTGGTTACTCTTCACCTGTATAATTGTTACTTTTCAACAGGGTTTTTACCCTAAATTGAAGTATGGGAATTGGTTCCAAGACCTGAAGGAACAAACATCATTGGCACCAAGTGGATCTACAAGAACAAATCCGATGATAAAGGAGTTATAACCAGAAACAAGGCTAGACTGGTGGCACAAGGTTATACTCAAGTTGAAGGGATTGATTTTGATGAAACTTTTGCACCTGTTGCAAGACTTGAGTCAATAAGACTGCTGTTAGGGATGCTTGCATTCTAAAGTTCAAATTATTTCAGATGGATGTGAAAAGTGCTTTTCTAAATGGATATTTGAATGAGGAAGTATATGTGGAACAACCCAAGGGATTTGCTGAACCTAACCTGCCAAACCATGTATACAAATTGAGGAAATCTCTTTATGGATTAAAACAAGCTCTTAGAGCTTGGTATGAGAGACTGACTGAGTTTCTCACTGTTAATGGGTATAGGAAAGGAGGGATAGACAAGACCTTCTTTGTGAAGGATGAAGGCGGAAAACTCCCTCAAATCTATGTGGATGACATAGTGTTTGGTGGAATGTATGAAAGAATGGTTAAAAAGTTTGTCAATCAAATGCAATATGAGTTTGAAATGAGCTTGTGTGAAGATCTAACATACTTTCTTGGGCTGCAAGTCAAGCAAATGGAAGACTTTATTTTTCTATCCCAAAATAAATATGCCAAAAACATAGTCAAAAAGTTTGGAATGGATAATGCGAGTCACAAAAGGACACCTGTAACGCCCGTTTTGTTTCGAATAAAGGAATTGAATCGGTCGAATTTCGGGCAAAAGTGCAGAATTCCGTAGCAGTTTTAGGAAAACTTCGAAAAATCATATCTCTTGATCCGTAAGTCGGATTTGACCCCCGTTCGAAGCATTGGAAAGCTAAAGAGATGCTCTATCTAGAAAAAAAATTGAAAAAAAATTTAATTATTCTGATATGACGACCGTCATGGACTTGCCACGACCGTCACGACTGTGACGCTCGTCATGGACTTGGCACGACCGTCATAGTAACGAAATTCAGTTAAATGCAGAATTTGGACGTGGCTGAGAGTGGGTAGCAAAAATACATTCCCATAGACTCTTTTACCCTCAATTACACCATTTGGGGAAAAGAAAGACTGAAAAGAGAAGTTACGCATTGAGGAAAGTTGAGAGCAAAGAATCAACCACCGGCGAATTTGGAGGATTTCTGCAGAAAAGTCACCGTAGAGCGGAAGCGGAACCGGAGAGCGTGGAATTGACCTCAATTTTAAGGTAAGGTTGGGGTTCAATTCTATAACCGTGTGTATGATCGAATTCATGTGGGGAATCGAGTCATAGGTATAGTTTTCGTTAATCGATAAATGTTAAGGAAAAGGTTTCCCTAATGGGACAAGATTTCTATGTAGGAATGAATGTGTTATGTAGTTATTAGTGCAATGCTCTAAGGTTTTCCTTATGGGCAAATACGTAGAACGAATATGCTATACGGTTATTCGTACAACGCTCTAATGGTTTTCCCTAATGGGCCAAAAAGGACAGTTACCTGGTCGTGATTGATTTGTAATTAATTATGTAAGGAAATGCCGTAATGTGTTATTACGATAAGATGTTAAAGATTAATTGTAGAACTGATGTTGATGTTATACCTGTATAGGAATAGCCGTTTTGTGTGAACACTTTGAGTTCCTATTTGTTGGTACGATGTTGTAATGTTCTTTACATGAACAGTCGTAAATGTTGAAATTATGTTGCTATTGTTCCCATATGTGAACGGGTAGAAAGTGATGGTTGTATGAGTGGTATGATGTTATGATGCTCTGTTATGGACATTCTGGTTGTAGGCGTAATGCCTTGTTATATGGTTGCTATGGTTGTGTTGTAGTCCATAATAGATGCATTTCATGGCATAGCATTTGGCCTGGATTGGCGGCGGTTGTGCCTGTATTGGCGTTATTTGGAGTGTTGGCTCCTAGATGGGTTCGGGGTGTTGGCCCTGTCCCGAGTTTTGAAGTGTTGGCTCCTAGATGGGTTCGGGGTGTTGGCCATGTCCCGAGTTGTGGAGAGTTGTCTCCCAAAATGGTACCACATGCATGTGCATTGTTGAGTCGCATGAAGTCGCATAATTATGCTAGTTGTATGTTAATGTTGTTTATGTGAGATATGGATTACACGCAGTTGTTGTAGATGATGTTTATGATTTCGAAACCTATAATGCTATGATGAGTTTCCGGCATGTTTTCTATCATGCTTTATGTTATATTATTGATATCTCACCCTTTTCCGTTGTATGTTACCTCCTCTGGTGGTAATTTGCAGGTAGTCAGGAATAGAGCGTAGTTCCCGTTAAGGTGTCGTTGATCGCTCTGATACGTAGCACTCTTGGGGGATGGACGATTGCTGTTATTATTTTAGTCGATGTTATTGTTGATTGAACTTGTTATGATGTTTCTATTAAATTGCTTTAAGAGAACATGTTGTATACTTTATCGAACTTCCACCGGAAGTAATGACGAGTTGTTTTATGATTAAATGGTTAAGTAATACATTGGTGATTGGTCATCAAATTTCGTGCTACGTATGATATTTGCAAGTTGTTGCATAATGATTGTTGTCTGTCAGGTTGAAGTGTAACATCTCTGATATGAGGAATTTTGCCCGTGTGACGACCATCACAGGCTCATGACGACCGTCATGCAGTCAATGTTTGCGCTGCTGCGCTTTGTTTGCTATATGAATTGTTGTTTTTCCTGTTATCCGCAAGTTTAGATTTGGGGTGTTACATTAGTGGTATCAGAGCAGGTCGGTCCGTCCGGCCAAGTTGTCTAGTGTCGTCGAGTCAGTCGTCGTGCCTAACACTAGAGTCTCGTTAATTATGAAATCTGACTGTTGGTTGTTGCAGCTTAAGTGAAATGGCTGGGAGGAATAATGTTGCAATTGCTGCTGCTCTGCAAGCTTTAGGTAATGCTATGGAACATCAGCCGAATCCTGCTGGAGATGCTGGGTCTCGCAGTTTGGCAACGTTTCAACGGGAGAATCCGCCTAAGGTAGGCATGATCCTGATGGTGCATTGGAGTGGTTAAAGGAAATGGAGCAAATCTTTTGTGTGATGGATTGTACTCCAGCACAGAAGGTCCGTTATGGGACTCATATGCTAGCAGTAGAAGCTGATGACTGGTGGCTAGAGACCCGTCCAGTGTTGGAAACTGCAGGTGAAGAAGTTACTTGGACTGTATTTCGTAGGGAATTTCTGAAGAAGTATTACCCGGAAGATGTCTGTGGTAAGAAAGAGATTGAATTTCTTGAACTGAAGCAAGGAGACAGATCTGTTACTAAGTATGCGGCGAAGTTCAAGGAGTTGGATAAGTTTTACCCACACTACAGCTCAGGGACTGCTGAATTCTCTAAATGTATCAAGTTTGAGAACGGGTTGATGTCTGAAATCAAGAAAGCAATCGGGTATCATAAGATCCGTGTCTTTGATTCATTGGTTGAAAGCTGTAGGATTTATGAAGAGGATAGCAATGCTCATTACAAGTTGGTGAGTGAGAGGAGAGGAAAATCACAGCAGAGTCGTGGTAAGCCTTATGATCCTCCAGCTGGCAAAGGGAAACAGAAAGTAGCTAACGGCCGGAAAGCTAGTAGGGGAGATGCTCCTGCTGGTATTGTTTGCTATAAGTGCGGAAAGCCAGGTCACAAGAGTAATGTATGTAACTCTGGGTCATTGAAATGTTACCGTTGCGGAGAGTTGGGACACGCTGTTGGTGAGTGCAAACGCAAAGGAATGGTTTGTTTCAACTGCGGTAAAGAGCGACACCTGCGAGACAAGTGTCAGAAGCCTAAGAAGGAACAGAATGGCGGAAGAGTGTTCGCGCTATTTGGGACTCAGACATCCAGTGATGACAAATTGATTGAAGGTACTTGTTTCATTAATGGTAGTCCTTTACTTGCTATTATTGACACTGGTGTGTCTCATTGCTTTATTGCTGCGGATTGTGTCGAACGTTTGGGTCTTATGTTGTCACACATGAGTGGAGAGATGGTAGTTGAGACCCCAGCTAAGGGATCGGTAACTACGTCTCTTGTGTGTTTGAAATGTCCTCTGTCGATGTTTGATAGAGATTTCCTGGTTGACTTAGTCTGTTTGCCACTAAGTGGGATAAACATAATTTTGGGTATGAACTGGTTAGAGTATAACTGCGTTCATATTAATTGCTTTGATAAGTCGGTGAGATTCTCTACTCCTGAGGAGGAGGGAGCGCGTTGGGTAACTACCAAACAGATGAAGCAGATATTGCTAGAAGATGCTCAGGTGTTTGTGTTGGTGGCATCATTATCCATTGAGAATCAAGCGATAATCGATGAATTGGAAGTTGTTTGTGATTTCCCTGAGGTGTTTCCAGATGAAATTCCTGAAGTTCCTCCGGAACGGGAAATTGAATTTTCTATTGATCTTGTACCCGATACCAGACCTGTGTCTATGGCACCGTACAGGATGTCTGCATCTGAATTGGCAGAGTTGAAGAAATAGTTGGAAGACTTACTTGAGAAGAAGTTCGTTAGACCAAGTGTATCACTGTGGGGAGCTCCGGTATTGTTAGTGAAGAAGAAGGATGGCAGTATGAGGTTGTGTATTGACTACCGGCAACTGAACAAAGTTACGATTAAGAACAAATACCCGCTTCCGAGAATTGATGACTTGATGGATCAATTGGTTGGAGCGCGAGTGTTTAGTAAAATTGATTTGAGGTCGGGGTATCACCAGATTAAGGTAAAAGATGACGATGTTCAGAAAACTGCGTTCAGAACCAGGTATGGACACTATGAGTGTACGGTAATGCCTATTGGCGTTACTAATGCACCGGGAGTTTTCATGGAATACATGAACCGTATCTTCCATGAGTATTTGGATCGGTTCATGGTAGTATTCATTGATGATATCTTAATTTATTCGAAGTCGAAGGAGGAGCATGTTGAGCACTTGAGATCAGTGCTGCAAGTGTTGAAAGAAAGGAAGTTGTTTGCGAAACTGTCGAAATGTGACTTTTGGTTGGAGGAAGTTAGCTTTTTGGGTCATGTTATATCAGGTGATAGAATTGCCGTAGATCCATCTAAGGTTGATGCCGTGTTGAAACGGGAAACTCCGAAGTCGGCAACGGAGATTAGAAGCTTTTTGGGACTTGCTGGTTATTATAGAAGGTTTATTGAAGGTTTTTCTAAGTTGGCCCTTCCGTTAACTAAGTTGACTTGTAAAGGGAAGACTTTTGTATGGGATGCTCAATGCGAAGCAGGTTTTACAGAGTTAAAGAAAAGGTTGACGTCTGCTTCGGTGTTGATCTTGCCTAACGCAGAAGAACCGTTTGTTGTATACTGTGATGCTTCTAAGTTTGGTTTAGGAGGAGTACTCATGCAAAATAATAAAGTAGTTGCGTATGCCTCAAGACAGCTGAGAATCCATGAGAAGAATTATCCCACGCACGATTTAGAACTTGCTGCCATTGTTTTTGTGCTGAAGATTTGGAGACATTATCTGTATGGCTCGAGATTCAAAGTGTTCAGCGACCATAAGAGTTTGAAATACTTGTTTGACCAAAAAGAGCTGAACATGAGGCAACGAAGGTGGCTAGAGTTGTTAAAGGATTATGATTTTGGGTTACATTACCATCCGGGAAAAGCTAATGTTGTAGCTGATGCCTTAAGCCGCAAGACTTTGCATATGTCAGCAATGATGGCTAAAGAATTAGAGTTGATTGAGAAATTCAGAGATCTGAGTTTAGTTTGTGAAGTAACACCGAAGAGTGTAAAGTTGGGCATGTTAAAGA